ACCTTATCCCCACTCTTTTTCAACCTTATCCCCACTCTTCTTCAACCTTATCCCCACTCTTTTTCAACCTTATCCCCACTCTTTTTCAACCTTATCTCCACTCTTTTTCAACCTTATCCCCACTCTTTTTCAACCTTATCTCCACTCTTTTTCAACCTTATCCCCACTCTTTTTCAACCTTATTCCCACTCTTTTTCAACCTTATCCCCACTCTTTTTCAACCTTATCCCCACTCTTTTTCAACCTTATCCCCACTCTTTTTCAACCTTATCCCCACTCTTTTTCAACCTTTATCCCCACTCTTTTTCAACCTTATCCCCACTCTTTTTCAACCTTATCCCCACTCTTCTTCAACCTTATCCCCACTCTTCTTCAATGTTCCCTCCACTCTTCTTCAATGTTCCGTCCACTTTTCTTCAACGTTCCCTCCACTTCTCTACAACTTCAATCAATGTGGCACAGTGTTCCTGGAACTTCCAAAAGCAGCAATTTTTTCATTTGAAATCTTAGCTGTGAACATAAATATGATAATAGTTTTTACTGAACATAATTAATCAATCACTCTACTACATGTGATTTCATCCGAAACTTAAACACTAAACACACTTTCTTTCTTGCAGGTCACCTTTGAGGGTGTCGGAGGTCTGGTTAGGCACATCCTGGCACTAAAAGAGATGGTTGTGTTTCCGTTGCTTTATCCAGAAGTGTTTGAAAAATTCAAAATAGCGCCACCGAGAGGTGTTCTTTTTCATGGGCCTCCTGGAACAGGAAAGACCCTAGTGGCAAGAGCTTTAGCTAATGAATGCAGTCAAGGTGAAAAGAGAGTTGCCTTCTTCATGAGAAAAGGTGCAGATTGCCTTAGTAAATGGGTTGGAGAATCCGAAAGACAGCTAAGATTACTCTTTGATCAGGTAGGTCAAATATTTATTAAACACCAGTTAACTTTATCACCTTTCACAAAATTACTTACATAATATTTCCTTCACGGCTCGTAATCTGTGTAAGTGAATGAAACCTCCTAGTTGTGTTTGACTTTTCTTACTTGTAAGTGGCAGAATTTAGTGGCTGGAGATTTTTGTGATGGTTACAAATTTTTCATTTTTTCTCTGAACTCAATTTTCAGGGTACAAACACCCACCATACCCTCTTCCTGACATGGTCATGTAGTAATGCTTTGTAACTAGATACCCATATTTATTACTGATATGTGAAAATATAGTGGTATTACAAATGTATATGTTAAGTAGTAATAATAATTGTAACAACCTAGAGGAACATACATGTAACCATATATGATATGTAATAAGATACTTATTCTTTATTCCTATAAACAGGCCTACACAATGCGTCCTGCTATCATATTCTTTGATGAGATTGATGGACTAGCACCTGTGCGGTCTAGTCGTCAAGACCAGATTCATAGTTCTATTGTGTCCACGTTGTTAGCTTTAATGGACGGTTTGGATAACCGAGGTGAGATTGTGGTTATTGGTGCCACAAATAGGATAGACTCTATTGATCCTGCCTTAAGACGACCAGGTAGATTTGACAGGGAGTTCTTATTCCCTTTGCCTTCTGCTGAGGTGAGTTTTTCAATTATCTAATATTTACCCAGGCATGTTTAATATCAATGAGAGAATCAGTTGTGTTTATACCATCATTATTATCTCGTGCTTTGTCATAGCCATATGTGCAGCTTCAATGACATGCCAGTTGCACATAGACCTTCTTGTAGTTGTTGTATTATTACTCCGACTCCCAACATGTATATCTTCATTAATCAGTACATTATTGGTAAAGCTATAGGCCTGAGTTACGTGCAAATAAAATATCAGCCTTTTTACCCCCTGTGTGCTTTGCACACAATAAGAGCCTGTCTGTCTGTATGTATTATGTATGTGTGTGTGTGTCTGTCTGTTCCACTGATATCTCAAGAACTGTATGTTGGTTTTTAATGAAACTTAGTGCATAGATGCTCTGAGCTGATACACAGATTTGATTAGGTTTTGGATAAAAATCCATGCATATAATGAACTTAATTTGCATAATGATTAGCCAATTTTGGGCTTTTCCACTGATATCCTAGGTACTAATCATCACATTTCAATGAAACTTGGATAGATACATAGGACCATGCACAGACAGATATGTGAAATATTAATTACCTAATTTGCATAGTTAATCAATTTTTAGCTTTTGATATTTCAAGTACTATAGATGCTCTAGAACAATGCAGAGACCTAATTAATTTTGGGTAAAAATGTGTGCATATTAATCAACTAATTTGCATAATAATTCATAATTTTTTGGTTCTAATCACATTTTAATGAAACTTCTGCAGGCTGGCGGCCATCTTGCTTTTTGCCAATACTACTATTATATCTCCAAGGCTTAGGGTCCATTTTCATTCATATTTGGCACATGCATCCTAAATATAGGAATACATGTTCAGTTTGTTTGACTGGCATCCATCTTGTTTTTTGGAAAATGTGGTTTCTTGGACAGAATTTGTCGGTTTTTGTTTAAATTTGATACAAACATGTCCATGATGATTCTGACCATATACTCTCAATTACTAACTATGATTTTGGTCGGTAACTTTATTTTTGGCATGAACAATATTTCCCCTAATTCCATTAACATTGTCTTCATGTATCACTACACTTTACAGGCAAGGTATAGTATTTTGAAGATTCATACAAAAGACTGGGAACCTAAATTGTCAGAATCATTCCTACAAGAGGTTGCTGAGATGTGTGTGGGTAAGTCCTTTGTCAATTTGTCTGTCTCACTTGTACTGTAAAACCATTTATTTTCACTGACATTTAATTTCCCTATTTTGATGTTTTGAGCATATTAATTAAGAATTTGTCAGAGAAACGATGAGTTTTATTGTTATTCAACATGTTCACATGGATTTAAATTAGCGGATTATACTTATCAGCAAAAATACGGATTAAAACCCAATGAATAATTAATGCATTTACATTAACTTGAATGATGCATGTATTTTTTAGAAAACAATGCAATGCCTGCCAAATTGTAAATCTTGTTCTGTCATGTCTTTTAACTAGACATAACAAATTTATTCCGAGTTTCCTGTCGTTATCCACTTCAATTCTTTGAATCACATTGTGCATCTCTAAGAGCTGAACTTTATCAGCCAATAGGCTTCTTTTTAGCTCCGCTGTCGACTTTGTCGAGTGGAGCTTATCATGTGAGTGATTGTCCGGCGTCGTCCGGTGTGCGGCGTCCGTGTCAATGTTTTACTTTTTCGACTTCTTCTTGAAAACTAGAAGCCTGAATGCTTTGATACTTGGTGAATATGTACCTTGGGTAGACCTCTCTGAGATTTGTTCATTTCATGATCATATCTTCAATTCTCTAATTTTGGTGAATATTATTGTCATTTTTGGTAAAAAGTGATATTTTCGACTTCTTGTTAAAAACCGCAAGTCCAATTGCTTTGATATTACATATATAGGTACTACATGTGTATCTCTCTCAGATTTGTTCATTTTTTAATGATATCTTCAATTCTCTAATTTTGGTGAATATTTTTGTCATATTTGGTAAAAAGTAATATTTTCGACTTCTTGTTAAAAGCCGCAAGTCCAATTGCTTTAATATTACATATATAGATACTACATATGAACCACTCTCAAATTTATTCATTTCATGATGATATCTTTAATTCTCTAATTTTGGTAAATATTTTTGTCATTTTTGGTAAAAAGTGATATTTTCTTCTTGTTAAAAACCACAATCATTTATGGTTAAAAATTATATTTTTGAATTCTTGTTGAAAACAGCAAGTCCCATTGCATTGATACTATGCATATTGTTCATTTTCTAATGATATCTTCTGTTCTTAATTAAAATGTGCATTGCTAACAACGGAGCTATCTCAGCCGAGAGGCTGCTTGTTTAAGACACTAATCTCAATGTTTTTGTTAATATTATTATTTATTTATTTCACAACTCATATTAAAATAATACATTACAAAAATGTGACGACACATTCATGATCACAACAATCACTATGGATTGAAACAAATAAAACGAAACATCACGCCTCGACTTTCCCCTTGAGGTTTCTGTTCAAGTACTGTACAATAATCAATCCATATTCACAATGAGAATGGAACGTTGTAGTTTAATTTTAACAAATTGTTTTATTTAGTATAGACTAAAACTTAAGAGTCCTGTACCATTGTTGCGACACAAGCCTATAAAAGTTTCCACAAAATAATTTACTGTAAAATCTGTATTAGAAGCTGTGGCTTTTATTACGGGGTACAATGATACAATGCAACACGGGGGGGGGGGGATGCAGCTTCTATTAGAGTATCTACACATATGAGAAATGGTGAATTTTTGATACTCAATTACTCGAAAAAAAAATGGGCGCGACTTCTATTAGGGATGCGGTTTCTAATTCTAATTTTATGGTAGTACCGGATAACTGTCTCATCATGTCAAAGATACTTTTCGTAAGTAATGGTCCATAAAAGTTTATTGTAAACGGTCAATTTATTGCATATTCTTGATTGTCCAAATTTCAACTGAAGACACAGGCATCACACTCTGGGCAGAGAAATATTAATATATCTACATTTAAACTGAAAACATTGGGGCAAGATCGTTTTATGCCTCTGCACGTATTATCAAAATGCAAGCTGGCATGGATTCTTTTTCTGAATAACCACCCATACTGTTACACATGTACACAAAAATGGCAAATAACATGTTTATTATTATTTCTTGTGTCCATTGTAAAAACATTAGCACATCTTGGCTTTGATAGCAAAACCAGATATCAGACCAATACACTCTAGGCAAATCCAACAATCATACTGCACTTTGCTAGTAGATGTAAATCTATGTAGGAAACAAAATATTCAAAGAAATTTATGGCAGGTTATGTGAATAAACTCAGACAACAGTAAAAAACAGTTTGTCAGTTCAATTTATTTCTGGTGCCACAAAGCCTCTGTCCATGGAATATTTTTACCTCTAGTGCTCTATCATAGAGGGACTGTGCTGGTGCTTAAAAATAAATTAAATCCCAGTTAAAACTAGGTCAAAAGGTCATGTTGCATGCATATACTCAACACACTATTCATATGCGCTTTGTCATCGCATATCACTTCAATAGTTTACATGAAATTCTATTTTATTTTATTTTACAAAGAATGATGCCATCCATGGTTTTTGTACTTGTTTTTATGTTTTCAACTGTGTTTCCTTTTTACTGTATACAATATTTGAAAAAGAACAATAGAACCAACTGCAGGCAATTAATGCTGAATATGCTAACATACTGCCAAGTTACCCATGCGTGCACATGCGTTAGACGCTATTAATTTGGTAAACAAGTTAGAGCTGTACTTTACTAAACATATTGTGAGGCAATTTGCTTATATACATTACGGATGACCATGGGTTATACACTGATTAAATGATGTATTGCTATATTGATGGAATTATTTTCCTGCATGGGTATTTCATGCATAAGTTCTTTCTAAGCTTTCTTTAATTCATTTTATCCAGGATATGCTGGTGCTGACATTAAAGCGTTATGCACAGAGGCTGCCTTGTTGGCTCTCAGGCGACGATATCCACAGATATATACATCAACTCAAAAACTGCAGCTCGACTTAGACTCTATTCAACTCATAGCCAGAGATTTTTATCAAGCTATGCAGAACATTGTTCCTTCATCGCAGAGGTCTGTGACTTCACCAGGGCGTGCCTTGTCCTTGGTCATTCAACCACTTCTTCAGTACACGTATAAAATGGCATTGGAGACATTAACCAAGTTGTTTCCAGCTTCAAGTTCAAACTGTGATGAAAAAGGTTTGTAAAAATTACTGTTACTATAAAATAATAGTATTGTAGAAATTATTTGCCAAGTTTCATTTTTGCTGTCAAACAATTAGCATGAAAATAAGAATACTGGAATATTTTGTATGACTAGCAAATTTCTTGTTTTGATGTTGAGGGCGCTGTATTGTTGCACACCATGCTCATTGCGATTGCAGCTACACTGACGCTGTCTATTGGAATGCTAACAGTAAATATAATATTTAAGACCATTTGTCTCGCATCGCGTTTATGCTTCATGAAATTATTATTAGTTTTGCTTATTGAAATTTCGATCAGTGTCATCCTTGATTGCATGTACTCACAACGGAGTGATATATGCTGAGATCATATTCAACCATGAGATGCATCCGGAGCTGACCTGGCATGATCTCTGTAGCGAAGATCTTGTTGTAAACCAAGGAAAAACATGATGATAACACGATGTATGCAGTTTGATTTAGAATGCAAATTATTCAGTTATCTGGCAATATTATGTTTTTTGTTCGTATGAATTGCTGTGTAACATTACCGGTATAAGTTGTTGGATGAACAATTCTAAAGAATGCAGCGAATTTTCAAAATCACCGATTTGTATATGCAAACTGTTGGTTGATGCTAAGATTTTGATGCTGGAAGCTCTTGATCATTTGCATATATCTACATAGTACTATGGAGTCTGTTGTTTTATTGTTATAACCATGTAAATGAAGCCTTTTCTCATTGTTTACAAAAACAACAATTTCTGATACTTTCGTTTAGACATACAAATAGCTTGGAAAGGCTTTTTAGCTACTATTGACTCATCCATGAAAAATAACTTTACACGAAAATTTCCTGTTCTACAGAATCTGGTATTGAACATGCAGATACAAACTTTATTATTTTCTGATTTTGAATGTGATGTGTTTCTAAATATATTATTTATAAACATTATTAATATGCTAACTAATCAGCTAAGTATTAGCATATGACATCACTTGTATCAACCAGCTCTTCAAACCTCACACAGTTCTATGCAATGTCTTGCTTTCCAATGA